ATGAAGAACTTTCAGTATTGAATGTTAAAAGAACTCACAAAACATGACCAAAAGCAACTGAGAAGATGTGTTGTCGTTGTCGACAAATATGGTATCCTTAATAAGTTAAATGACTCAAACTGGTTTAACCCATCTTTATTTTTTCGTCTATAATAGAGATTGTTATTTTCCTTCTATTTATAAAAGAAAAATAACATTAATTCTATTTTATTAGTATACTAGGTGTTTCTCTGCACTATGTGCAGAAATAAAAATATAATTATATTTAAAAATAAAATTTAGTTAATTTTATGTTTATTATTTTGTTACATTATTAGTTTTACATTAATTATATGTGCAGAAGATTTTTCTCTTTTATCTTTTGGTTAAAATATGTTATATTAGATTCTATACAATTAAGAGAAAATTTTGTTAGGTATATAATTATCAAAATATAAAATGGTTAAATAATATTTTTAAAATTAATAGACGTTATAAATAAAACTAACAGTATTGAGATTATAAAAATATATTTTTTGAAAAATATTATTAATAAAAATACATAATTATAAAATATCTTATATATTTTGGATATTAAATCTAAAAAAATAATTAATATAGTATATAAATATGAGTGAGATATATTTGGCTACCCGAATGGTTCATTCACATAATCTTTTAATGGTGCCACTCCGACATCTAGTTTATGGATAGTCAAGACCTTTGTACCCGAGGAAGCTAAAAACTCATTTATTCACAGTGATCCCAATCTTGATTGTACTCATCTTTTTTCTTGATTATTCTTTATTTTCTTGAACCGTCTTTTTCATTTGTTTGGTATATTCGGTAATATCATAAACTGAACATGCCTACCTCAAACGAAACAAGAACTAATGCCAAACATAAACACCAAAATTACCACAAATTTGCGGTAAAAGACAAAAATATATCGGCTAGAATTGAATATTTGGATGGGAAATATATAGATAAGTGATTTGGTGTTTTAAGTATTGTTAGATATTTTAAATATTTATTGTAAACTAGTTTTATATAATATTAAATGTTTTGTAAAACTACAAAATATCTTATATATTTTGGATGTTAAATCCAAAAAAAAAAATAACTAATATAGTGTATAAATAAGAGTCAGATATAATTAGCTACCTGAATGGTTCAACCACATAATCTTTAATGGTGCCACTCCAACACTTGGTTTACAGATAGTCAAGACCTTTGTACCTGAGGAAGCTAAAAGTCCATTCATTCACAGTGGTCCTAAACCGTGTAAGATCCAATCCCGGCTTCTTAGGCCGCGGTCAAAGTCTCAGGTCGCTCGGTCCACTTCCTGACCGAACTTCTGAATTTTTCGCCCTTTATTTAAAACTTTGCCTTTAGGCAAGGGCTAATCTTGACCTTAACTAAAGACTCTGTTAGTCGTTTCTAGCTTAGATCATTTCTAACAATACGCAGCGGAATATTCTCTAACTAACCATTGGATTAAATCCAATCTAATACTCGTCCGGTCTAGTTGTCTAAACTATGGTCAGTTCACTTTGACTACCATTCAGCATATAGATCAATCCTTGACACGGTTCAAGTCATACTAATCTGAGGTTTCATTCCCTTAAACCATTCTACCAGCATCCTAGCAAGATACTAATCAAACCAAGTATTTACGAAGTACTCATACCTTTGCCACATCCACAAAGCTTGTTAGCTCATCAGTCCTCCATTGATCTGAACTTCTCCTGCTTGTCTATTGAGCCATTTGACTCATTATGTTTCTTCTCGGTTCTTATCTTTGTTCCATCATAAAAACAACTCCCTTTGGTACTTAGTCATCCAACCAACCATCCCCACAGACAAAGTAACCGTTGAGAAGTCTTCAAACGGTTAATGATATGCATCCTGCCATTCTCGACTCATGCAACATCCTTTTGCCTCAACGGCTTATCACATCATGTCCATCCTATGGACTGACAATGCCCATCAGATCCCAAGTCAATCAACCAACCACCCCACATGACTCAGAACAGATGTATTTTCATTCTTAACTAATCGTCCATGGAACTATGTCCCAATCAAGTCCGATCAGTCTTGTGCTTACCAACCGATACATCAATGGTCAAGTTAGAACCGAACCCTTGATCTAACATCTATGGATCAGGACGTCCATACTCAGCTATGATCAGATCATACACGGCCTTTCTTGAAGAAGCACATGTATGCTCAGTACTTATGGTCTACGACACATAGTACTAGCCATACACTCGTCATGGCTCTTAGCCAATTCCAAGGTCATCAACACCGAGGTTGATATCTAGGATAATCACATCAATACTCTTACTCCAGCAACGTGACCATCCATACTAGTGTTCGGCCATCGAACCATCATCATGAAACATGATCCAACCACTAGTCATGATAAGCCATTGTTCACTTAGCATGCATTGACATAACCGGCCTTCCATTTCTTTCATGTGGATCCACATCCTACATAAAGCATATGGCGTCCTTCCCTTAATCGCCCAATTCCTGATATAAATACATGACCCAAATCATACTAGTGTTTATCCCTACAAACCATTGCTTATGGTCAATGAAACCAATAGTAATTATGATTGACCATCAGCCTTTATATCCAGTATTGACTCAACCGACAACCCTATGTGGGTCCATGCCCTACACAATGCAAGTGGTGTCCTTTTATCAACCACACCTCTTCGGACCCGAACCATTTGTACCCTTTTGAACCCGAACCATTCTCACCCTTTCGGACCCAATCCATTCGCAACCCTATCGGATCCGAAGCATTCGCATCCTTTCGGACCCGAACCATTCGTACCCTTTTGGACCCGAACCATTCGTGCCCTTTTGGTCCCAAACTATTCGTACCCTTTCGGTCCCGACATATTCGCACCCCTTGGTTCCCGATCCGTTCACACCCCTTGGTTATGATATGTTCGTACCCGTTGGATCACGACACGTTCGTACCTCTTGGATCACGGTGTACTCGTGTCCCTTGGATCACGTTACACTTGCATCTCTTGGATGACAACCCTTGGTGGCATCCCTTGATGACACCCCTTGGTGGCATCCCTTGATGGCACCCCTTGGTAGCATCCCTTGATGGCACCCCCTGGTGGCATCTCTTGATGGCACCCTTTGGTGGCATCCCTTGATGGCACCCTTTGGTGGCATCCCTTGATGGCACCCTTGGTAATTCGCACCTATTTCCCTTAAGGAATAGGTCTTCCCCTAGGCGTTAATGACTTCTATAAGCCACGACCTCATATGGCTCAAGCCATACTAACCCTGACCCGGATCGTGCCCTTACGGCTTGGATCTCGGATCCTGCTCCTATGGCTTGTATCCTCGTTTATCATTTGGGGATCTCTTTAGGATGTGTGTCCAATGTCCAAGACTGAATGATTTGATCTCTGGTCGGCCCTCCTATATATAGGAAACCAAAGGTCATGTCCAAATTGACACATCTCTTCCAAGCATCTTTTCGGAATAGATCTTGACCATCAATTACAATCAACGGTCCAGATCGCATATGTTGGATCTTGGAGTTTCCAGACACATATAGGCACGTCCATCAATATCTAGGCACGTTAAACTCAAGCCCAAACTGATTACCCAAACCCATGGCCCGGCCACAACAGTTCATCAACCCATAGCCAGCCCTGGCCATCTAACTGGCCCGGTAACCGTCCAGACTTGACCCAACGGCCTGAGACCCAAACACTCAGTCCAGCTGAGATGAGCTGATTTCCAGCTGACCCAAATGAGTGAGCTTGTCCATCCAGCTCAGGGAGTTGGCATACTCTACTTGAGCTCCGACTGAGCTCTGTCCAGCTGGTTGAGCTTCTTGCTCACATCACCCAGCTTTGATACACTTTGTACAGCTTGATATCTTCATCTTATTGAATCCTTCTAAGTCCCTTGGTCTATTCCAGACTTAGACTTAGTTTTACCATAATCGATTCTGATCATTCACTACATCGAACTTGTTCACGATAAATTCTTGTGATATGAACCAAAGTAGTCTCGTTTGTATTGAACGTCTTAGCCTTATGTCAAGTTCCAGGAACAAGAAGACAATTCAACTGGTGTGAGATGACCAATGAGTGTGTAGCTAGACCGAGATGGGCTGAGCTTCCCCGAGCTCCTCTGAGCTAGGTCGAGCTGTCCCTACACCTCGTCCATCTACCCTTTTACTCGTGTAGCTCCTTTTACTCTATTTCTTTCCTTATTTGTCTAAGTCTCAGATCCCTGGTGTACTTATCCACGTTTCTGAACCATGATACACTTTTCTTTAGGTCTCATGACCTGGCTGGTGCGTCTACTCGCACCATGGTCCGTCCGGCGATCTTATCCAGGATCGGGGACATGACAAGTCTCCCCCACTTAATAGGGATTCGTCCTTAATCCGGTACAAGTATATCTTCCTTTATGAACTGACCATACCATTCCGGGTACTCAGTTTTCCTCCTCGTTTCTATCTTACTGATGACATCCTTGATCAGCCTATATACAAGTCTCCCCCACTTGATAGAGATTTTTTCCAAAAACTTCTTATCAAGTGGTCCATCTGGTTTTCGCTTATGGCATCCTTACTTGACTACTCAACCATAGTCAAGGATCCATCAACATGTAATATCTTAGTAGTTTCATAAACATTCGATACCGGTTTATATGATTGCATCATGATCTCACTATATTTATAGCGGTAGTATAATTATGTAGGATTATATAACTTCCTGAAAC